GGAAGAGCAAGAAGAAGAAGAAGTAATTAAACAATAAACGTGTGCGTCGCTACCATTATTGTCATGGCTCATAACGTCTTTAATTCGTAAGAGAATGAGATTTCTAGCGGACATTACTGAGTTGGCAATGCGACCCTTTTGAAATGATTCCGGAAAAGATTTGTACGGATGCAACAGTTGGCAATGTTGCAACTAGTACCTTTACATATTGGTCTTGAAACAATATCGCAATGAGGTAGTTACGTCTTCGTTCTTGGTTTTAAACCTGGTACCAAAAATGACACCCAAGTCATTTATTAGAGACTATTTGTCAGTACGAGGGGCGTTCTTAAGTTCGCGGAATAGGGGGTAAGAAGTGGAAATAAAAGTACGATTTTTTTTTCCTTTAAAATATATTCACTTGCTATCCTTATACATTTTTCCGATCTTTCAATTAACTTATGTATACCTCCAAAAAAAAATGTTTTAATGTTTTATCTTTGTCTGAAAATTACGCCGAATCTGCATCCTTCACTACTTTGTCGCTTGGAAATTTCTTCCCACGAAGACATAGGTAATAATCACTGGAAGCTAGGTCAGGATTGTAGGGTGGGTGACCCAAAAGTTTGAAGCCCAGCTTCTGCAGGACAGTCATCGTAACACAGCTCTTGTGAACAGGTGCGTTGTCGTGCAGAAGGAGGACACCTTTGGTCAATTTTCCTCTTCTATTTTCTTTGGCTGCTTCCTTTAACCGCTCTAGGATTGAAGTATAGTATTCTCCGGTTATGGAGACACTTTTATCTTTATAACCGATCAACAGGATCCCTTCTGAATCCCAAAAAACTGTCGCCAAGATTTTCTCAGCCGGCTGTGACACCTTAAACTTCTTAGGTAGTGGTGTGCCTTTTTTGTGTCACTGCATAGTTCTGTTTGGTCTCAGGTTCATAATGATGAACCCAAACTTTTTATGCCTCAGAAGGTTTGCTATCGTCTTATTTCTCCTTTGACTTATTAGCTTCCACAGCGCCTTCTGTGTGTTTACTTATTTCAATCCCTTCCCATTTCTAACGTATTCTATCCACGGAATTTTCATCGTCCGCCTTCTTATTGTATTCATATTGTACACTATAAAAACCTTTTGCTTCAGCTGTTAAACATGTAAACCAGGATGGATAATATAGGTGAAATGACTCCCGGATTTTTCCCATAGTAATCTTGCATTCTTTTATTTTCTCGATTGAGCGGCGCGTCCGTTCACGTTACCACAAACTGCGGCGTTTCCAAAGATATTGTACGTGGGGATATATGAACAAAGCTTCTGAATAAATTTTTCATTTGGAATTTTACTTATCTTATCCTATTTTATAAGAAAATATTAGTAGTCTTTCCTATCGGATTTTACACACACTCACATTAATGCCCAATTTCTTTCTGTAGACATACAGGTATATACACGTAATAAAACACATTTCTCACACTTACTAAATTTATTTAATTAATCCCTCCTTAATTGACACCATTGTTATTAATTAATAATTCATTCCCACTGTAACGCACACTTTGTCGCTTCTTCATTCTTTCTACTTCGCTTTGTATCGCTTCGTAACACGAACTCGTACCAACTAACTGTTCCGACCTCGCGGCAACTATTTATAGGGGCTGGCCTTGTTATAAAAGGATCAAGAATGTGACGTCTAGAAAATCTGGTTTTCTTTGTCGCTATGTATGTTGGGTTGCCTACATTTGTTAGTATTATCATCATATATGCCTATTAGTCATGGTTTCTTCACAGAGCTAAGTGAGAGGGAGGACGTAAACGGGTGCGCTCTCTACCGGATCAGAAAAGGAATTTCTATCACTGCGTAACTCAAGGTCATGACCCACTAAATTTTAAATTACCTCTAACAATCTTTTTAGAATGTTTATATAAACCAATCGCGAGCACAGAAATGATTTCTTATTGTTTTATATCTCTACCACTTTTTCCATCATGAAGACCTCATGATGATGACAAGCAATTTATTTATTTCACTAAAGCATAGACATAGTCGATGCCATTGTACACACATACAAACATATGGAAAACGAGGGTCTGCAAAAAGCAATTTAAGGATTATTTGCAGAAATTACATAACGGCACTACCACGGTACGATGCTATACATTGATTATGTCGTGTTAATGCGTATAACACATGATAGATGGTTACGTGCGTAATATGTACAACAATCAGTTGGGTTCTTGGTCTAGTAGGCCTACAACGAATTAATTAGGAACTGATAATTAAATGCCACGGCGGCCTCTGACATACACTAACCCGCACGCCCTTTGTATCGATACCATCTTCCGTCCCTTTGGCCTATCATTTAGCAAGTGATTTTCTTCCTCCAAATGTTTCACGCTACATTACACGCACATTTTAATTGCATATTGGGTCCGCTATCGCTAAATTACTTCCAATATATTGTGAAAATAAGAGATTGATTAGGAGTTTAATAAATTTAATCTTCCTATGCCCCTTTCTTATCGTTAAATATATTGCTTGTAGTAATGGAAGCTTGAAAATAAATTCATAAACAACTATTGGGATCCGTCAAATGGGCATACACCATCTGGTGGCAAAATTTATAACTCGAATGAGGGAAAAATTTACATAGGAACTGTGCACGTAAATTGTAAAATTGTTTATTAAAATAATAAAACACGTTAAAAAAGTAAAATTTTTTTGATGATAGAGTCGACGAAGTTTTCTTCTAAAGTTAAATCAAATAAAAAGTTAATATGTTTAGTGAAAAGCTAATAGAAGCTTGGATGAAAGCAGTAGGTATTAAAAGATGTGAATTCCGGAATAAAAATTTGTTCACGTCATTTTAATGCACATGATTATATTTCAGCAAGAATTTACCATCAGCCATAACCTTAATATTTAAAACTAGATCTCACTAAAATTAAAAAGTGAGAAGTTATTTATTCCTGTGTAATTGATTTAACCCAATTCTAATGATACGATATAAGTATTTTGAGGTTAAGAACCTACCTGCTGCAATACAACAAAGTTGCAATAATGTGTTTGCAACGTTCTCTTAAATCGGCAAGTCATTGATATGATATTGCTCAAATCACCCAGAATCACCTCACCAATTATATAACGTGAATCACTTTTTAAATCCGAAGTTTGTAAAAAGTAGGCAGTAAACTTGACGGAATTTGTTATTTCCGGCATTTATAATGTGATTGGCGTTAAAAACACGCTCACCTTCAACGAAATTTCCTTTCCGAGACTTTGTGTCAGCCAAATCACATATTGTGTCAATACTTATCATTTTTTCGTAATTTAAAAACTTAGAAATTGCACGGTACACTATAGGAACTACGATAAATTTTCCCTAATCGGCGCCATGTTTTTAGGCTCCTCTCATTTGACGGATCCCAATAGACTACTAAAAACTTTTATAGATTACTACAAATGGCGTAATAAATGCCATCAGCAGATGCTATGCTTTGTAAGAACATAGAGTTGTCTGTGTTCTGTCGGGCCTGCTAACGAGACCTATGAAGATCGAAATCGCAATCCCGTCTGATGGTTCCGAGAAAATATAGACAACCATTCGAACTTTGTCGTTCTGTTTGGTTACATATCTGCCACGCAATGGTAGCTACCAGACATGTGATTTATTTGAAATACTTCCATTTAAAATGCAAATACAAAATCAAAAATACCTATTTTTATCTTGTATATAAATACTTTTTTGAGAAAAGCATTTTGTATTATATGTATTATTATGTTTAAAATGCTTTTCCAAACGTATTTTCTATTTGTAGAATGCAAAATACATTTTTGCCTTTAAAAGTTTTGCTAGTATCACCGATCAAACGTTATATGAAATGTGGAATGAAAGTTGCTCACACTGGCTATTGAAGATATTAGAAGCTTAAAAAGGGTTCAAAGAGACATTCCATTAATGCCTTCTGATTCTTTAACTGAAGAGAGCCCAAAAAATTCTAAACCTTTTGGTAATGGATAATCTAAAATATTGGATCGATATTGTTTTCCGGGTCCAATGTCATGGTCTATGGAATTTTGAAGTTCCAAATTGATATCAGCACCTGCCATATCACCACTTATCGTACCTTTAGCAAGGAACTACGAAATTCTATGAATTACGATAAAACAGCCCGCAAAACAATATCGAACTCATATACGTCAGCTGTGTAAAATTGAAAACTACAAGATATTGTGGTGTGCTAATACATGCGTATAATCCAAAATTCTTAGAAAACGATTCGAAAAACTTCACTTATTTGATGAACCCAAAACTAAAGAAACTATGGATTCTATTTCTTTCTCTGGTTACAATGTGTTGATTTTACATCAATGAAATTATTTGCAGCTCTATTTTGGCTCTGATCTTTCACGCTAAACAAACTATTTTGACATCAGTGTCTTTTTTCCAATTAAAACGTGTGACAAAGGTAAATAAGGAAACATATAGAAGAATTATTTGTTGCGGAACTGAAGAAACTGTAACATAAAGAACGAAAAACTGTATCTCAATCACTTCAAACAGAAAAATATGAATCATACTCAATCTTCGCAGCTGGTGATATAGTTTTTATTACTATTAGTCTAGAAATCCAAAGAAGAAAAGTCAAATACTTTCGAATTCCACAAAATGTAGTAACGTCCTGCAAATGACGTTCATTACGCTATTTGTAGTAATTCAACTAATTACAAGATCAATCGATTTCATCCGCGTTAAAATCCAAAATTTGTGCTAAATAGCAACGAAACTATTAGACTAAAAAATTTCTAGATTTGATCGTTTGCTGTATTTTTGTTATAATATTTGTAAATTTTCAAAAGTATACAATTTCTTACAATTTTTTAAACAATGTGCGATTAATTAATTATGCGCTTATCTAATCTGACACCACAATGAGGGGATGTTTTGTCAATAAATGTTTTTTCACAAGCACCCTTACGCAATATCCAATGATTTAATTACAATTATTTTTATTACAGATACTGCGTTGAATTTGAGGTTCTCAAAGCATCCAAAGCATGCAAGAAAGAAAACGGCTTCCAATCGCTAAAAGAAGGTAGGTTTAAAATGATCATGGTCAAGTAGTACTTGAAGCCATTTCCATCATAACCTAACATTATTTTTTAACATTGTTTTGTTGTTTTATCAAGTATTTTTTAATGTAGGTATGGATTTATTAATGCAACCGAGTATACACGTCAAACAAACATTTAATAGTCATAACTTAAATTGAAGTGATTTAAATTAAGAAAACGTGTAAATGAAAGACAAACTGTTTGGGAATGTAAAAGGGGTTCCAAAATGGGGTATCAGTTATCACCAAAAGATGTGTAAAAATAATTCAGGGAGATAAAAAATAAAAAACCAAATATGACCTCATTTTTGTCCCTTTTATCTCCGAAGAATGTGATCTAAATGCAAATTTTCAATGTTTATTAGAGTTCCTTGGCAAGCTCAAAAAAACGGACACCCTTGTAAAAGGTTGCCTATACTCAGAATTATAGGCCTAATTAAGGTATTTCTAAAAATTGTTTTGATAAACCTTCTGGGGTTATGTACCCGAAGGGTCCATTGAAACTCTGTTGTTGTGGCACCTTCACTTTTTCCTATCAACAGCTAATCTTTGCATTGCTCGAAAATTTGAGCAACCTACATCTTTAACCATTTGTAAGTAGTAATTTCGTCTACGAGGGCGGTTCAATAAGTACCCGTGTTTGAAGACAGAGGGAAATTGGTGTTGTCATCGTGTGCTGCCATCTATCAAACCACGCTAAAACAAATTTCAGACTGATTGATAGGTTAGTTTGGATTTGGCAGCCATTCGACTGACGTTATTTTCGCTAAGATGGAAAAAGAGCAGTATCGTTCGGTAACTCACTTTTTGTTTTTGGATGGGAAAAAATGCGAGGAGATGAAAACAAAGTTGGATACTGTTTATGGAGACATTTCGCCATCTACGATCACAGTTAGATATTGCTTCAACGAATTTAAACGTGGGCAAAGATCCATTTTTGATAGGAGCGACCAGGAAGCCTGGCAAACGTTGTTACCGAGGAAATCATTTTACGGATTTTTTAGGAAAAGGAAGAACGATCACTGGACAATATTACAGTGAGTTATTGGACCACTTCGAGACACGGACGCATTTGGCGAAAAAGAAAGTGCTTTTTCAACACGATAACGCACCAGCACACCCCGTACTCACTCGATTTGACTCCTTGCGACTTCATCTTGTTCCCGACCATGAAGAAATGAATCGCGAGAAAAAAATTTAGCTCAAACAAGGAAGTCATCGCCAGGACAGGGGGGAATTTGGAGAGTTTGACAAATCTTATTTTTTGGAGAGGCAAAAAAAATGGCAGGGACGTTAGGAGAAGAGTATTTTTCTAAAAGGGACCTATGTTGAAAAATAAAAAATAAAAAATTAAAAAAAAGAGGTGTCTTCATTTCTAACAGGGGTACTTATTGAACCGCCCTCGTAGGTCTATCTCTAACCGTCAACTCCTGTTACTGCAGTGTCTAATTGGCTCTTGATGTCTGATAAGATGTCTTACCAACCTACCTCGCCTGTTATTGATTTCCATAACTCCTTCTCCTACTCTATCTAGCACCTCCCCATTTTTAATCTTTTCTATCTACTTTATTTGTAATATCCTCCCATAAAACCAAATATCGAACGCTTCTAACCTTTTCCTTTTCGCAACATCCACTATCCACATTTCACACCCATCCAGGGCCTAATATTTAATAATCATTTTGCAATTTTCAAATGAATGCACTTCGGGTACAAAAGTGATTTCTTTTTATTGAAAGAGGCTCAATCCTTCACTGTTCTTGATTTCATATCTCTAGTGCTTCTTCCATCCATCCATCAGTCCCCCTTCCAGTTTATCATCTCCTATATTTGTATCAGTTCTAACCCTAACCAACTTTTACCTGCTGTCTTAACAGCGCGTTTTAGAAAATACCACAAATGGCGCGGTAAACGCCATCTGTAGTACGATGATGCATTTTAAGATTACGTAATCCTAATTAATTAATGTAGCATCGTACTACAGGTGGCGTTTACCGCGCCATTTGTGGTATTTTCTATCTATTAATAATTACAGAGTGCGTAGTGGACGCCACTTCATCCCTAATTATGCAAATCAGTTATTCTTGATCGTCTGACCAGGAGTTTTATTTATGTGTATAAAAAAAAGTAATTCCTGATTATGATTAAAATTTCTTATTTGGCTTACACTTTTCACAGTGAGTACGTGATTTAGGTTTACAGTTGGCCGATTATTTCAAATGTATGGAAATGTTTATTATTGATTCCAAAATAGGGTGATGTATCACAAAGTTATAAGAAGTTCTTGTCAACTCATACAATCAATAATCCATTTGAAAATAAGGTTCTTTGTACAATGTCGCAGAGGACGATTTTTTATTTCGATGGCCCTCCATTCTCGGCGAATCTCCCGATACTTGTCAACTTCAATATTGACATTCGAAATTTAAGCAAAACTGAAATGTCGAGAGAGTTTTTTGCAAAACTGTTTCCACTCTATTTTCATTACGGAATATCAAGTTATCAAGTAATATTGAAATAGGGCAATTTACAAACGAAACAGTTTAATAAATAGGTACGGCAAAAGAAGCTGGGAAAATGATATTTTTATGAAAATTGTCTCTTTTGTAGAGAAACAAATGCCTACAGAGAGTAATTTGGAATATAAAATTGAAGATTTGTCTCTAACTGAGGATGACACTTACGAACCGCGACCTAATGTTAACCCAACCTATCCACTCATAATTTGGCTCAAGTAAATAGAAAATCTTCCTTCTTATGAAGCTTTATATTAATCCTTGCATTCAATTTTACCAGTCACTTACCCCAGATGCTCCGCTCCTCGTGGGGAAACCCTAAATGATAGCTGACGATGACAGCTGTCAAATATGGCTAACAACAGCTGATAGCCCTGACATCAGAGTAGGTGTAAAGGGTAAAATTGAACGAAAATTAAAAAATATGCAGAATTTTGCGCTAGAATGAAGATTGCAGCATCTAAATTTGTAATATAAAAAGGGAATGAGCATTAATTATGTGTAATCAAAAGGAGAAGGGAAGGGGTTTTCAGAATCTCACCAAAGGGAAGAGGGGAACGCATTTTAAAAATAAATTTCACATAATTACATTTCATAATTCGTGGCATTGCATAAAAGTAGATAAAACATCTAAATTCATAGTACAATAAGGGACGCGTACTAATGGCATGAAGTCAAAAAGGGAGGAAGTCCGATCGGCAAATTCTCATCAAGGGGAAGAGGATTCACATTTAAAAAAACATGTCGCGTATTTACTTTTCATAATTCGTAACGTTACCTAAGGATAAATAAATCCACTACATTCCCAGTACAATAATAATTACGTGAGGTCAAAAGAAAAGGGGGTTCACATTTTAAGAAAAAGCATCTCGTATACATTTTCCAGAGGTAAAGAGAATAGATGTCAGAACCCAGTACCATTTGTGATTTTTTAATGGGTTCATAATAAATATAGTTAAATATTGTGTACCATCATCATCCCGATCCGACGGGACTTGAACCTTGACGAAACTCTTGTACAAACTAGAGTTGATGGATCGGCTTGCGAGTTTCGATGATTTAAGGAGCCGAAACATAGGTTCAACTATAATGGAGGGGTTCTTAAAGAGAAACCAGACTTAGACAAGTCCCTGAAAGAGGGCAGCAGCTCTTTCAGTACTCAGGGTGGCAGAGATCACGAGGATCGGTATGGCACCCTGATGCACAATACTGCGATGTGGAAGGCAACAGGAAACCACCACATTATGATCCCGAGTACAACGTATGCAAACATTAAATGATTGCGTCCTCTGGGGTAAAGCACTCCGGACGGAAACTAGTCCCCCATTAGGATGTCCGGTCGGGGACTACCTCGGGGGGTGTCATCAATAAGTGCAATAGGGATAGGTGCAATAATTCACGAGTAGGAGCGTGGAATGTTAGAACAATGAGGCAAGTAGGAAAATTAGACAATTTATTGTTCACAAATAGTTAAGGATGTGGGTTGTTCTAGTTTTAGGGAAATGCGAAGTTTAGCTCAGGATAGGAAACCTAAATCATCATCATCATAGCGTCGTCAGTCCTAAGACTGGCTGGACACGTACCTCCACTCTTTCCTATCCTGCGCCAGTATTCGCATTTCCCTAAAGCTAGAGCAACCCATATCTTTAACTATTTGCGAACAGTAATCTAATTTAGATCTACTTCTATCCCGCCTAACTCCTGTTTCTGCCTTTAATATGTCTTTGACTAGACCTTCATGCTTTAGAAGGTGTCCTACCAATCTATCTCGCCTATTTCTTATTGACTTCCATAGAGTCCTCTGTTCACTTAATCTTTTTAATATTCCTTCATTTCTAACCTTCTCTATCCATGATATGTACTTTAAAAAAAAGCCCTTGAATTATTTTCATCAAAATTTTTTTATATACATATTTTTGTCTCTAAAATAACATGCAGAGGTGCGTAAAGAAGAATGGGTGTCCTCAAAACTTCAAATGCAATTCGTTGTTCTTCGATATTACCTGTTATTAAGTAAATCTAATTAATAAACATTTTTCAATGTGCTTTTTCTTAATTCCAATTTCAGGAGAACGTGTTTGTGTTAAATGCGAATCAGAAGCTCTACGTAAAAATCTCGATTGGAGATGTCAGGGCCACGGGGTGGAAGGTCGCGTGACTCGATGGATTGCCATGGGTGCCCCTTACTGTCACGGTAAATGGATCAGAGCCGAAATGCCCACGTCAGACAGTTGTGCGGCAAAAACTTGTCAAGATAATAATTATCTCATTTTCATTTAAAAACGTTTGGAAAAATTAAACGACTATAAGATTAGGTAGATGACCCGTATTTTTAATACTTTTACAAAGCTTTTATTTGTAATTTATATGTATAAGAACCCACAACCAGGACGCTTTTGTTTCCAAATTCGCATACAGGGTGATCATTTTGAAAATAACGAAAACCTTTCGTTTCAAAAATAATAGTTGTTTCTATAAATTCTATATTTGCAATAAAAACAAGCATGGAGTATAAATATTTGTGCCCCCCCCACGTCAGAATTTATGAATAATTATGAACACCCTGTATATTGACTTCAACTTAATAGATCATTTGATATAGAGACGTACTTTACTAAAATAATCGGCATCTGAAATAAAATACAGATGCCTCACTCTTAATAGAAACGGTAAATACACAAACATATACCATAAAAGTTAATAAAATACGTCAGTGGTGTAGGCCATATTCTTAGATACCTTTAGTAGGTACTTATATTTATGTTACCGTATAAATTCAGAAAAGTAGAATTAAGTGCCTGCCATTAATACAAAAAACAGTGTTTTTTTAATCTCAATTTTTTTGTTTTTATTTTTTTTACTTTTCTACGCCACTGGAAATTTAACAGTTTGCTTGTGTGTATAATGTGTTTTTTACTATAAATGTTTGTTTTTTTACGATACCTATATCTACCAATTTTTTATGCCTATAGTAGGTAATTTTTATACTTATGAACAATTACTTTGAGTTAGTATTGAATTTCTTTTGTAGATTTTGAACACATGTAATTTTCTTTTTACAATTAATTTTGGTGTTCTGTACTTATCCCTTATCATTTTATTAATGACAGATAGTAAAATTTTATCTTTCTAAAATTACTGACTAAAATGACATGATTCTAAATAATTGTAGAACAATTTGCTCCTATTTTATTAAACTGTTATCTTAAAATGTTAACTAATCAAAATTGCACTATTACAGATCAGATAATAAAAAATAAACGAAAGAAATTTTAGATATATTTAAAACTAAAGAACTTTTACCTTAGCTACTTCTTATAGTAACTTTGCCTAAGAAATGTTATGATCTGATCTGTATCTAATCTTAGCTCAACCCAACCCAACCTTACTTAAATATACCATATTACTCTGTTTGGTTTGTCAAATTGCTATTAAAATATGCCCAAAAATGCTTTCTGTTGTATGAAGTAATTTACTATCAAAAATATCATATTGATTTAAGGTGTGCTACTAATACTTAATACTAATTGATTATAGCCATTATTGTTTTTTAAAAATCTGATTTTAGGATACTCTTATAAGGCACCTACATATCGTAACAGGATTAATTGTAATAAAAATAATAAAGATTTTACAAATAATATTGTTGTATTCCCTTTCTTTATTAGCTATTTATAAATTTAAATGAAGTTTTCCAAAAAACTGGAATGAAAATAAACGTCGTGTTTTTCATTTTGTTTGCAATTTTAATCGACAAACCCTAAACAATTATTGCTCCAATGCAAATTAAATACAAGGCAAACACACGCATGGAGATATGCTTTTACAGTTAGTTTTAGGAGATCAGTTTAATGTAGTATATTTGAACATATCTTTTGTTTACTGTTTTTCAATAGAATTTCTATTCCTGTCATGTCAATCTATGGTTATAATAAACACTAACCTTTAAATATTGCCGTCCTAATCTAGATATTTTTTTGATTGAATATTGTTTAATTTAAGCAACAATACCGTAATAAACAGGTAATATTAAAAGTAGTAATACTATTAATTTTACTGTGATAATTTTATTCGAAAAAAGCTTCATTTTAGTGTTTCGTATTTTTAGATTTAACCTCAAAACTGCACGTGTACTTACATAGATAGAATTGAATAGAATAAAAGCACAAAATGACTCGGAAAAGAGAGAAAAGAAAGCCCCCAAAATCAATTTCAGTTGTTGAAAGACATACTGACATTGACGAAAAAAATGAAGCTGATGAGGAGGTAAGGTTTTCATTATACATCATATCCAATGACTAATGTAACATTTTGTAGGATGAGAACGTGTACTTTAATACCATTGAAGAAGAGGATGAAAATAGCGCCTCAGACTCTGAACTGGAGGATGATAGTGATGGAGAAACTGAAAAGGTATTAGAAGACTTTGTAGATGAAGTTAACAGTGAAGAATATAGTGATAGTGATGAGCATAATGAAGATGATAATCTAGAAAGTGCAAATGATAATGTGAATAAGGCGGATAGTGTAGATGAAAGTGAAAGTGATAATGAATTGGAAGAAGATGATTCATATGAAAGTGAAGAAGTTTCTAGTGCCCCAGAAAGTGACAGTGATTCAGATCAGGAAGAAAAGATTAAAGGACCTTTGAAAAATAAACAGTTAAAGCAACAATCAGTAAAGGTCAATAATAAGTTATCTAAGCTCCACCAAAATGGTAAAAATAAATTTCAGAATGAAAATAAGGAATTTCCCAGTGGAAAGGATGAGTATGCAGATGGAGATACTTCTGATGAAGAGGACATTAGAAATACTATTGGTAACATTCCAATGAAATGGTATGATGAATACAGACATTTGGGGTATGACTGGGATGGAAATAAGATATCAAAACCAGAACAGACTGATACGATAGATAACTTTTTGAGAAAAATTGAAGATCCTGATTTTTGGAGAACTGTAAAAGATCCTCAGACAGGACAGGAAGTAGTTCTTAATGAAAATGATATCGAGTTGATTAGAAGAATTAAAGAACAGAAAATACCAGATGTCAGTTTTGATGACCATGCAGTAAGTAATCTTTTCTTAAATAAGAGCATTTTGGTTAATATATCTACATATTTAATCATATTGTTTCTTAATTTTTGATTTTCAAAACAATACTTTTAGAAAATTCTTTAAACATCAATATGATATTTATTTTTTGTGTGCAAGGAGGTGTAATAGGAATGCATATAATACTTAACCATATTAGTTCTTGTCTTTTATCGTTTAATTCTCCAGCCCTGGATAGAGTGGTTTACCAGTGAAGTGATGCAGATGCCTTTGAGGAAATTTCCTGAGCACAAGCGATCTTTTCTGCCAAGTCGGGACGAAGCAAAGAAAGTTTCCAAACTCGTTCACGCTCTTAAAATGAGTTGGATTAAATCAGAAGAGGAGCGTCGTAAAGAAAAAGCGAAAAAGGAGCCCCAGTTCTATATGTTATGGCAAACGGATGATCAGTCAGAAGAAATGCGTCGAATTCATAAGCACATACCGCCCCCTAAGAGGCCTCTTCCTGGACATGCAGAGTCCTATAACCCTCCACCAGAATATCTCTTCGATTCTAGGGAACTCAAACAATGGAACAAACACAAAGAAACTCCGTGGAAGAGGAAACTGCATTTCGTCCCCCAAAAGTACGATTCTCTTCGAAAAGTCCCGGCTTACTCAAGATTTATTAAAGAGCGATTTTTACGTTGCATGGACTTATATTTGTGTCCCAGAGCGATCAAGATGCGTCTACAGGTGGAACCTGATGATTTGGTTCCTAAGTTACCAAGTCCTAGAGATCTTCAACCGTTCCCCACCCTTCTGGCCATAGAATACAAAGGTCATACTGACATGATACGTACCATTACCACTGATAAAACGGGGCAGTATTTGGCTAGTGGTTCCGACGATTGCACAGTGAAAGTGTGGGAAATAAATACTGGACGTTGTCTGAAGACTTTTAAGACGGACGCTGTCGTGAGGACTATTGAATGGTGTCCTAATGAAAAGTTGCCCCTTATTTTGGTTGCCAGTGGTAGGAAGGTCATCCTGATAAATCCAAATGTGGGCGATTTTCTGCAGAATATAAAGGCAGACGAAATATTAAAGGAGAAGCCGCAAAGTGAAGTTATTGTAAGCGACAGGGTGAAGACGACTGTACGGTGGGATGATCCAACTGAGGAAGAATATGAAAAGGGTAAGTGAGAAAATCTAATAAAGTCCGTAATAAAAATAAAAATCAAACAGGAATTTGAGGTAAGCAAAAGGGGTTGTAATAAGATCAAAAGTAAATAATATAAAAACATATACATTTTTTTAGTTTAATGAAAAATATTCTAGAATTTTTTTTTTCCTACGTGAATTTTTTCAATAAAAATTACTTAACTCACGCGTGTCATTCTACAAATATTAGCTTGGAAAATTCGAAAATCAACAATTGCCACCCTAATCAATCCTACTAGGGTGGTAATAAACATAACAATAACAAACAATTTTTAGCTAGTAAAAGTTATTATAACATACAAAACAATTGTTCCAAAATGTTGGTAAACTTAGATAACTTTTAGGGTTCAGGATTATCTTGTCCCATTTCAAAGAGGTGACTCAGGTAACTTGGCATGGTAAGGGAGATTATTTTGCCTCTGTGATGCCGGACGGTCAAAATCGATCTGTTCTTGTTAGTCAATTGTCGAAAAGACGATCGCAGTTGCCGTTTGCAAAGTCAAAAGGGCTGATACAGTGCGTCCTCTTCCACCCGTCGCGTCCATTTCTTTTCGTCGCGACGCAACGACACGTGCGCATCTATGACTTAGTCAAACAAGCGATGGTCAAAAAATTGATGTCCAATTCGCATTGGATTTCGTTCATGGCGGTTCATCCTGGTGGGGATAATCTCCTCGTAGCTACATACGATCGTAAAATGTTGTGGTTTGATTTGGACCTAAGCACTAAACCATACCAGACCTTAAGATTGCACGGGACAGCCGTTAGGGCTGTGGCATACCACCGGAAGTACCCCCTATTCGCTTCCGGGTCGGATGATGGGAGCATGATCGTGTCCCATGGCATGGTATACAAGTAAGTTTTCAGTAAATATGAAACTTATTGGAGTTTACGTTACACACTTGCAAAATTTTAATTTTTTTTTTTGAGTTCTGGGCACATTAAAATTAAAATGAAAAAAAAAACATTAAAAAATGTATGTTTTGGTAATTATGGCATTTAGATTTGGAATAACAGCGGGCATTTATACATAAAATACTGTTTTCAAATGTAACAATAAAATTTGTATCAAGAATATTAAGAAAAGTTTAATTTTTTCTCGATTTAGTAAAAGTAGACGTCACTTTGCAGTTATAAATTGGTAATACTAAATTATTATTTTTATTTTCAGTGACCTATTAAAAAATCCGTTGATAGTACCTCTGAAAAGGTTTCAGGATCATACCACAGATAATGATTTTGGTATATTTGCAGTACATTTTCATCCACTTCAACCATGGGTTTTTTCAGCAGGAAGTGATTCTACAATTAAATTATATAGCAATTAATTGGTGTCTATATTTTTAGATTAATTTTAACTGTTTCCCATATTTCTATAAGATATTATGGAAATGTTATTGTTTAATAAGAGAAAAACTGCTCATTAATAATGCATAAATAGATAAGCAGAAAAGTCTTTTTTGTTGTCATTTTTTTTGTTCTGGTTATTTTAAATTACTTTTTGATTTCATTCAAAAACATTTGATAGTTACAGGTACGTATTTTTGTTATTTAATTTTTACTTAAAGGTGTCGGCATTGAAAAATAGTCCGGTGCGATGGGTTAAACGGCTCAGGCGCACCATAATACGTGTATTTTTGTTTACAATTTATTGTGCATATTCTCTTATTTTAATTGTAGTATTACAAAAGTTCGTTAAATTGAGCCTTTTTGTGATATTACAGGAGCTCATCACTGTTTTAATGCTTTTAAGTGATAAACGTAATTTGTGATTTTGTGCGTTAATTTAAAATTGGCGCGAATGAGTGGGGCGCAAGCGTATTTGAATCGAGCGACTCGTAATCTAGTTACCTGTCAGTTTGAAAGATGGCAGTTTCAACGTTAAAAAAGCATATGGCGTACGTTTTCTGTTTTTGCTATCTATTTCTTCATAATAATTGTGTGTGTGAGATGTGTAGTATGATTAATCGCGTTAAGTATTTAATAATTTAAACGAATCGAATGTTATAAGCCATTGATAGCCGTGTACAGTTTTATAGAAAGTCAATTTATATTTTGTGTACGTATGTTAAAGCGTTCGTTGTGAGAGAACAAATCTGTGATATTATTCTAAGTGATTGTTGTTAAAAATTCTTTATTAATTTACGAAGAAACTTATTGTATTAAAAACGTTTGCGGTGTAAAACTGAGGTGTTTTTAGTGGAGCACTATGTCGATCTCAACCGTTGTAGGTAACGGTGAAAGTGAAAATAAAATAGAACGATCAGATGACTCGACCCAAAACAGTAAGTGACATTTTTCACAGCTTTATTTATTGTTATTTTTTGAACATTTCACAATTTACTATCCATAATTCAATGATAACAGACGTATCAAGTTAGTTTACGTTCTTCAAATATCATAAAGCTACTTCCATGTCAATACAAAGGAAATAGAATACCTTCATCAAATGACAATATAATATGCCCATGATATGTGGAGCATTATATTCACAGGTTCTCATTAAATATAGGTAATAATGATAATAAATTGTCGACAATGTTCTTAACCTTTACCTCATATCTGTAACGTTTTTTACAACTAGAATATTCGACGATGTTTTTTGGCACCTTTTTTGCCCTATAAAACTAGATAACTTTTTGCTCGAAAGTCCATACTCTATTCCAGTTTTGTTCTCTTGTTCAAGGTGCTAAGCAAAACTTGTGGTTTTATAGAACATTTAGTTTTATAATTTAATATTAATAATTTTATGAATTTTAAGTATAGGTATTTGCAATTGTTTTAACTTAAGTATTAGTGTTAAAATTGGTTGTATGTATATTTCAAAAGGAATAGATTAAGTAGATAGGTATCTAAAGTTCAAAAAAGGTGTGCTTTAATACGTCGTTAGGTTTCAAGTTGTGTATTTTATTAAACTATGGCTAGAACAAAGACTTCTAGGAGGAATTCATTACCTCAAAGAGTCGATGGAAATTTTAATATTCGAAATAGACAAAAAAGTAAAAAACGTGTTAAAAGGGTTTCCTGGAGTAAGTTTGGCTATTGTTATTCATACTTTTAAATACAGAAATTAATTATTTTTTTAACTGTTGCAGGAGATGAAGAGATAGAAGGAATGAGTTTGGTGTCGCTTGAAACGACTGAATTCACTGCTGAATTTACAGACCCTGCTATTTTAGCTGCTAAACCAGCTGTTGTTCGTATTAGATACACTAAAGAAGAATTAGTGAAACTGAGACAGGCCCCTCAATCTTTGAAACGACCTGAATGCTTTGATCCTGCTTATGATATCTGGCAATTTGATCGAAAAAGTTCAGATACTCCTAGTGATAATAGTGGAAGATTTGAACCAGAATATAAGGTAAATCTCCAAAAACTGTTATCAGTTATCTACTTACTGAACAAACTTTAAACTTAACTTTTGTTACATTTTGAGTATAACTCAACTTGTATGAGTAGATATGATTATTGCCAAATAGTGTAGTAAATTTGTTCTGAATTAAATCAAAATATATACTGTTACTGTAATTAATAGCTAATAATTATATTCAATGTTGGCCCTCAGAATAGAACCATTTTGGAGCAAAGAAAAAAAATTATTTATTTATTTTATCAAATATAGGTGAACAATTTCCCTTTTACAATGTTTTATATCACATAATTATTAAACTTAACATAGGAATGAGATTATTAAAAATTAAAAAAAAAGAATCCCTAGAGCCGTCAGAAAAGTTTTAGTTTTAAAAAAATTATTATTTTTATGTATTATATTAGGGCCTTTTTGTGTAACTTTCTCAAGTCTTAAAATAAAGTAGACGATCTATTTATTAAAAGACATAAAATTGGCTAAAATATTTTTATTTATCTTCTTTTTTATTTCTTAAAATTCTGCTAATTGATTTGAATTTATTCACTACTATTACATTAACGCATTAAAAAAAACATTTGTTATAAAAAATAGAAAAATTACTATAATTAATAGATTTACATTAATAATAAATTTTCACTGAGATTGAGTAGGTACTTTTAACAGTTATGATTGGTTTATTTTTAAAAGGTACCTAGGATTGTTTTTAATGAAGAGTAATTTAAGTTAACATTAAATAAAACTTTATTTTAGCTAATTTTATTTTTTAAAACTACCCATCGTTTACCCCATTTTAAAACTTGGAAAATATCACAAAATATAGAACCCTTGCGTATAGTAATTATCAATTATAACAAGGATTACTTACAACAGAAGAAGTATACTCAATTTAGCTTAATTTAATTTTTTATTGGTTTAGGATTTTCGTCTTTCATTTTTTTTTGGAACCTATATTAAACAATTAATTAAGTAATATTAATTAATTTTTCATTAATTAAAAGTACAGTATTTGGAAAAATTATTTTACAGAATGTATCTACATTATTTCAAAATTTATTAGAAAATTGACAAATAAATATGTACTTACATGTACAAATATCAAATGATTTAATCTAATCTAATTTATGTATGTACCTAAATACATATTGGAAATTAAATAATTATTCTTAATTGAAAGTAATTAAATGCTAACAATAAATAATTGCAGTACTAGTTATTGCTTTTGTGATTTTTTTTACACTATTAAGCATTGCAATAATTACAAAAATGAATGCTGACTTCTAGAGTGAGGTTGTTTATTAATGATAAGAAGTCAGCAGTAATAAATAAATTGTTTTAAAACATATTTTTTTAAATACATACGTATGTAGGCTATGTTGAAAACTGATTTTGCAAACAATGCAAATTATCATTCAATTCGTTCGAAAAACTTGAACTAATTAATTTCTTTGGTAATTTAATTAGCATAACTTTAGATTTCATTTGCTATTTTATATATGGCTACACATTCTGTAATTTTTTTTCTTTTTATTTAAAAAATAAAAATTGCAGTGTTCTAAAAAATTAAAAAGAATGATAATAATGTTTAATTTGATAAATGATACTTTACCGAATGATAAGTTTTTCAAAAGTGTATATGTGTATAATTTCAAATTATTCTCAAGAACTAGTTGGGGTGTGCATGGGTGCTCTGATTTTTTTTTAAAAGTTACTAAAATTTATTTATTTGTCCCAAACTATCGAATGTTGTACGAGTTTACAAATAAAGAAAAGATGTGCCGGATTATTTTTATTTTTAACAAGAGTGGATCGGTGGTTAAAAAAGTCTTACGCAAGATAATTAGGTACTATCTTTTAAAATTTATATAATGTATTATTATTTAACATATTTAAATGATGTAAGTGAATGTTGTTTCATATCTATATAAGAACATTCGGCGTATATTGTTTGAGAGGACGTGGGCGCAATTTTCTTATTTTCTAGGTTTAAAGTTTATAAAAATATGTTAATTTAATACTGGAGTAGTCCTTATTGTTATATTTACTCCTTCCATAATTAAACAGCGTCGTTCCAACGACCCGAGGGAGCGGGTGCGCAAAGAGCAAGATGGCATCGTGCTCAGCCCACAGCGACGCAGTTTCAACTCGGGCTGTTTCGTGCCCGTCAAGGTCGAACTGCAAAAACGACACCGTTCGGACAGTCCATTGGGTAATAAATCGGAGGGTACGGGCGGAGGATCGGGCGGTGGTTCCCATCATATGCAGTCTCATCGTGAAATTCCGGCTGGCGCTAGGAGGATCGGGAGCGGACGTATACTGACGCGAGAGGTGCCGTGGGATTATCAGGACAAGGGTGACGCGGACGCTGAATACGGGTACCGGAGAGAGAGACGGGATACTGACAGGGACGACAGGTCAGTCTAACAACGAATTGTTTTCTCTTTGTGGGATAATCTTAAAATAACTGTAATATAGTGGAAAGTCATTATAGATATATGGTCCCACAAGGTATTTTTATAAATTTTTAGATTCGAAAGACGCTCATACGGTCGTGATAACATAGATAAAGACAAAGAGAAGCAGCACGGCCGAAGCCGTTATGGTGGTGATAGACGAAGAATTTCGAACGAGCATAGAGAAGAAGAACCCGAATGGTATAGTACATATGGTACAATAATTAAAAGTTTCATATTACACAAAAGTGTTTTGCTATTAGGTTCTCTGGCGGTCCCTCCTCCCAAAATGACACTATCGAACTGCGCGGATTCGACGACGATACCAAAAAGCTACGTAATAAAAAACAGTCCCCTAGTACCATGAAAAGATCAAAAGAGCGCGCCCTCAAAAACAAAGAGAGGCAGCAACAGGACCAGCCATCGGACATGAAAGAGAAACGCGGAGGAGGACGTGGCGACGATAGTGGCGAGAGCGATGGGAACAGTGGTGCGAAAAGTGGAGCTCCGAATGCCAGCTCCACTCCGAATGCTGAACAGACAAACGGGAGCGGCGAAACTGACTCGTCGACCGTAGCAAATCATTTACCCACATCGTCGTCTCCGATCACGACCAAAGCTGACGATGCCACGAAAAAGTACGAGTCGAAGAACGTGGGCAACGTCAATGGTCCGGCCCTGGATGCCCTTGAGGCTATTCTCGAATCGAAAAGCATACCCAGTATTTTAACTGTAAGTTGCTTTTAGTTTTCTGGTTTTCAGGCAGAAAAAAATGTTTTTTATATTTTTTGTTATAGAATGGCATAGGTGGCGATGGCGACGGTCCTTCCTCAGGCTCGCGTTTCAGTCGTTTCTTCAAGACGTCTAGCCCTCCGAAGACACCCTTCGACGACGAAGACGATATTGGCGGCTCGCACTCTTCAGCATCCATGCACGACAATTACCTGTTAAAAACCATCCTGCGGGATATTTCAGAAACGAAAGTGACGATACCAGGAGAGACAGAGTCGTCATTCGCTCCCATCTCACCTGCCGCCTATACGGGAGGGTGTGGTTCGCGTTCGAGTGCAGCAGCAACCGCAGCTGCTCAACATGGGGGCGCCGGAACAACCGCTTCCGCCACGACAACCGTTAACAATCAGAAACCGCTGAACTTGATCGATATATTGCAGAGGAACAGGCAGAGTGTCCAACAGGAGGAGGCGGTGGTAGGGGGAGGAGTAAAAAATCTAGGTGAGTTAGACATATTTTATTTTGATTGCAAATTTCAATAAAAGATCTAAATGGGATATCAATACCAAAAGGCGCTTCAACTGACAGTTTCGCTACAAAATAAAGAAAACAAAAGCTTAATTTTTGTTAACATTCGCTGTTTTATTCCAGGCGTTCCCGGTGGTAAAGTTCTTAGTTTGGAAGAGTTGGAAGCGAAAATGTTGCAGCAGGGCGGGGGAGATCCAGGTGCAGCCCGAATTGCCAGTGCCGCCCATAAACAACAACAGCAGCAACAGCAACAGAAATTGCACAACCAACAGCAACAGGCCCAACAGCAACCTCCTCTTAACAAAGTCGAAGAAGACATGACAGCTTTTAAACGACTAGTAAGTAAATATTCCTACCCCAGTTACATTTAATTGATAATAATCACATTATTGATGTTAAGTAAGTTTAATAAATTACCTTCAGCTGATACAAAACAAAAAGCGATGCACATGATCTACTACGTACACGGAGAAAGTAATGCCCCTATGATTAATTCCCTATATTAATGTTGGAATTTAAATATGTATAGCATTTATTTTCTTATACTACACTTTTATCTGTATTATTACATTTAGTGCGGCTATATCTCTACCACAGTATAGAGATATTCTATATAGTAACGTCACTCACAGCCACTGTCATATATCCCCCTTCTGCTTTGTATCGTGTCATGGTAAAGTCACAGTACAAATATATTCTGTACCTTTACATTTTCGTAAAACTATTGAACCGTCCTTGTGTATTAGCAGTTCAGCGCACATAAAATTGATTTATGACCGCCTGCAAAGGTGTTGACTGTCGATATTACAAAAACTGGTCATTTTGGAAAACAAATAATTTTATAGTTAGAGATAGCATCTAGATAGTTATGATTGTATTAAACTATAAACGTTTCATTATTTTTAGCTTGCCCAAGTATCTGGAGGACATGCTGTTCCTGCAACGAATGGTCCCATTCCCAATAAACCACCTATGAGTATATTAGAGGTGAGATAAATAAATTTCTTAAATTTATTTTTCTATTGAGTATTAATGTTACATGCAATAAGTGTTAAATATTCATTGCTCCTATTTCCAGATGCTATCACATTCCCAGCAGCAGGAAGAGCTGAGTCGCATACCTCCCCAGATGGGTCCTCTCAGTCCTAACCCCTTACAAGCTCCCCATATTCCCAACGATCTCATCCTCAAGCTGCAACAGGTGCAAAATCATGTTCAACAGGTTAGTTGTTTCCTTACTTATGTATTTGACATTAAGGCGAAAACGATTAATTTCCCACGTTTACTACTATAAAACTTAAAAATAAAAGACACTATCACAATAAAAAAGTCGTTGCAAACTTGTTAAGTTCAGTTTTTAAATTTGATTTTTTTATATTTTTTAAATTGTGTTTATTTAGAAGAGGTAGTGTATATAATTTTTGCAGTAATAAAGTAAATAGGATAATTTGATAAATTTATATTGGTTTTAAAAATGTGACAGCAACAACAACGTTTCGATATGCTCAATAAATTAATGAACGCTGGCATGCACCACGGACAGCAGTTGCGCACAAATCACATGCAGGAGATGAGCTTGAACCAGAGCCGAGAGCTCCTGGGACGTCCAGAGGCACAGGCTATACTACAAGGTACAGTTTTTATTGACAATTTTCGAGGAATTTTTATAGGGTTTTCAATACATTAGAGTGAATTTTTACCATTATATAACCTCACAAAGCTTAGTGTTAGAGCAATGGCGTGTGAAGCCAGGGACCCGGGTTCGATTCCCGGCGAGGGCTTAATTCATTTTAACAGTTTAATTTTTAATATTGCTTATCAACTTGTTTTATAACCTAGCAGAATTCTAATTTTTCTTTTGTTGCAACTTTCATTGAACTCCAATATAATTTACACACAAAATGATTTAATTTTTGTGAAATTTTACTACTTTTAGTAACGCAAACCTAGTTAAAGTTGATTNCGGCACATTTTTATACGGGCTAGGTATAGAAATCTTCGAAAATAAAGGACTAAAATTAACAATTTGTTTGGAACAAGTATTCGAGACACCATTTAATTTATTTTTCGGTTTAAAACAAAGATTTTCTTTTTACCCTGTTCATATATCAGTCTAGGAATGTGACCCTATTTTTATACCTACCTGTACAAATTTAAAGGTTTTAACATACAACACATGAAAGTACCGTTTAATGACGTCTCAGATAAATAATTATCATTAATTGATGTTATTTTCGTACGTTAATACAATGACAATTTTGTCTCGCAAATACTTCGGAAACTCTCCGTACTACGCTGATCGATTGCGCCACCAGTCTCTTACATTTGAGGAAAAACAATAGCTATGATTATTCTCAGTAAACGGCAAATATCGTCTTGTGCGGACACTTACGGTGACAATAACGTGTTTTTGTGGAAATTAAACAGTTTCGTATCGAATTCGTCACCAATACTATGTGTTTTGTATTTCTGCAGTTTAGTCAATGAATATGGTTTCATATAATGTGATACTTTTGCAGTCCTGTAATTTCATCCGGTAAGTGTTTTTTTTTTTTTTTACCATAAGCAAATAAAAATGCAAACTTAAGCAAATTGGACTCCTGATTTTGACTTTATCCTTATTNAATTTTTAATATTGCTTATCAACTTGTTTTATAACCTAGCAGAATTCTAATTTTTCTTTTGTTGCAACTTTCATTGAACTCCAATATAATTTACACACAAAATGATTTAATTTTTGTGAAATTTTACTACTTTTAGTAACGCAAACCTAGTTAAAGTTGATTGGCTGCAGCCTACACACTGAAAAAATGGGCAATTTTCTTACTTGATTCCATTTTGTGGGCGGGGGTCTAACATTGTAAAGAATGCGCCAACGCAATAATTGAACGATCCCTTAGTACTATACACCCACGTTCAGGACAGAGCCTAATAACATAATAACCCTACCAACATGTGTTCTTCTCCGAAGACTGGTTGGACACATCTCCATTCTTTTCTAATTTAAGTCAATCATCGTACTTCCCTAAAACTGAAACATCCCACAGCCGTTACTCTGTGCAAACAGTAATATTATCTAGGCCTTTTTTCACCCATCTTTACTCTTTGTTTTTGCATTTAATATGTTTAGCTAGCCATTCATGTTTGAGAAGGTTTCCTATGATACTGCCTCTCCCCTTTTCTACAACTCGGAATCTAAGAAAGGAAATACTCGAAATGACATACACTTTTAATAACCATTATCAAATAAGGCTGTTGTAATGTACCATTTATTCTTTTATTTTGTAAAGGTCTAAAACGAGGTGATATAACGCCGCAACATTTATACCAGCAACTGGCCAATCCGGCAATGCAACCGCGTCATCGTGAGCTCTTGCTGACGATAATAAAGTTGCACGGTGGCGCTGGTGGAGCTGCGACCGCGGCGGCCGGCACGGTGGTGGGCGGGGCGACGCCCGGATCCGGTATCGGACCTAGTCCTCGCGTGCTCAGTCCCGTGCCTCCACCGCACGCCCTCTTTGCCGCCCAGCAGCAACAACAGCAAGCTCAACAGTCGCAACAGTTGAGAGTGTCGCCGTTGCCACCCAACGGTGAGTCGGTTCGCGTGCACCTGCGCTGTTTATGGTCTTGCTAGATTTCGTAGGCTTCCGTAGTCGTTTGATTAATTTTTTGTGGTAGATGTTCACGCACGCGCTTTTCTTTTTTGCAGTGGTTGTGATTTTTGAAATATTGAAATAACTTTGATAAGCTGGAAGGGTAGAAAACTGAAATTTGAACAAGCATCAGGGACAACATTCTTGAATTGGGGTACTAATCCATATTCTTCTGCTTCTTTACATTTACTGTTGAAGCGGTTGGAGTTTAAAAATTTAAAGCTTTGTATAATTAAATTGAAAAGTAAAAATTACAATTGTATTACTTTCTTCCAGTTGCAAAGCTATTTCGAGTATGCACAATAGCATACACCATCAATTTTAAATTGTTAATATTGCACAGTAACGTTGCTGCTTCTACATATTAAGTATGTATGTTTGTAATAAGCTTTATCTGTTGATTGTCTAGCACTGTTGCACATTTATGCTTTATATTTTACCTCTTCTATGGCACTATTTTTTAATACCAAAAATAGCACTTCTTCATCATCTTTATTTAGTATGATACTTTTAATCCCTATTCTTCTCATTATCTACAGCACTTTATGTCCTTTTAGTAACACAAAATGTTTGATTAGTATTCGTATTGATTTTCGATTCTTGTATTTCCATGATTAATTATGACCTAATGAAGTGTTGAACGTATTTAAAAACTACCTGCATACGTTTGCTTTGACGTTGTTGAGAGCTTTTATATTTTGCTTTTTATTTTAATTACGTATTTTGTCTTGTATTTAAGTAGTAAACGTTTCTAGTGTCTGATATTTTTAATTCATGTAAAAAAAAAACAAAAATTTGAATTTACAATTTTTTACAAGCAGCTTATTGTGTATCGCCAATATTGGCTGCTAGCCCAAACACCCTAACGGTGCCAGGTAAGTTAAGTCTTCTTCAAAATTTCATAATTAATTTAAATGGTTCATCTTCTAATAGACAAGCAGGTTGTAAAAATCCAAATTCCCATTTTACTCAAAATCATAAAAAACCTTTCATAAATAAAAGAGGTAGGGTGTGTTTGCTCCTGCACAAAAATATTTCATTTTATAAAGAAATTAACAACAGTAATATGATTTTTATACATATATTCTACTCCAATAAAAAAATTGAAAATGTTTTCTTTCACGTGTAACTGTTATTCACTCTCGCAGCAATGCATCAGCGCATTCCCTCCCCTCGTGAGTTGCAAGTACACACCCAGAACATAATGCAACGAGCCCTAATTAAGAAGAAGCTTGAAGAGCAGCAGGAAAATTTCAAGAAGCGTCAAGAAATGCAACAAAGGGGTCAAAGTCCAGCAGGAGGCGTGTCTCCAGCTAAGCAGACAGCCTCTCCCACCCCTCTCGCATTCACACCTACATCTGTTCTTAGGAAAATGACCGCAGAAAGAGATGAAGGTGAGTAGTTATTTTAATCGTGATTAAGAAAGAGAAGAGTGTAATTTATTTTTAAAGTATGTGTCTATACCTAAATCTGACACATGTTAAGTGTAACCCTTTTCAAATATTATTCTAAATCCAAACAATGTGTGTGGAAAGTATTCTGTAGGTTGATTAAGTAAAGATAAATGATTATTTTTTTTTTAATTACTGATTAGAAGACGTAAAATACTAATTGATATAGGTGGCAACAAAGATGGAGGCAATAAGAATGCAGACTCTCAGAATAAAACTCAACAAGGAAGGCCTGTCGTTGGCATGAAGAATTCTTTGTCGCAGATGACTCAGCAACAACAGCCGCAACAACAAAACCAGTCTCAGTGGAACGTTCAACAACAGCAGCAGCAATCTCTTAAACAGCCAGGAAAGTATTATATTTAAACACTAAAGCCGACACCATAGCATGTGGGATATTATTACATATACAAATATAGTTATTGTAGTTTACGTTAATTTTTTACAGTAGGACGAGCAATCGTTAAGGCAAACTCGAATTTCCCAACATCTTCCCAACAGCAGCAGTCTAGCCAGGACGTGCAGCAGTTTTTCCAGCAGCAACGCATTTTAAACCAGCAGCAACGACACAAAATGAGCGCCGCTTCCGGTCCCCAAAGCCAGCAGGCAACAGGTGGTGTACCTCCTTCGATCGTCTCCTCCCATCACCATTCACAACAACAACAACAACAACAGCCCCTACCACCACAACAACAGCAGCAGCACAATTACAACCACAACCCCCATCACTACCATCAAATGAACACGTCCCACCATCACCACGGCGCCAACAATTCGTCTATTTATATGTCTAATCCACAATCGGCCGGTCAGTTTCAGACGTCTCAGAACAATCACCTGACGCATCAACAGCTGAGGGCCCAGCATCAGCAACAACAGCAGCCGAGCAATCAGCAACAAACCCAGCAGCATCACTACAACAACAATCGGGCCCCCCAACAGCCGACGTGGGGGTCGCAACAACAGCAAGGGATGTTTGGGCAGTTTCAGAATTATGGTGAGTGTTTAATTTTATTTTAATCATTTTCTGATCCTATGGGTGTTGCTGCTCTTGCTAGAGTTGTAAGACCTTTATGCTTTTTTGGGTATTGATTTTAATGAAACTTTACCAGAAACTTACAGCGGAAAGTAATAAAGTAAATAATAGTAAAAAAAAAATAAAGGCAAATATTGTCAAGTACTTATACAAATAACAATACAGATATGAAATAAATTTAGCTCTCGAGTTAAGTCTTGGATAGAAAAAACGTGTGTATTTTCATTCATTTTTACATCTTGGAAATGCAGTATTGGGTAGAATACATTTTTAGAACATTTGTTTTCCTTCCCCCATTTTAGATAGTCGCAGCGCACAGATGGGAAGGGGCGGCGTGAACGGTGGAGGCGGTGACCTATCACCCACCAGCAATCAGTTGGCGCGTTGGTTTTCCCCTGACCTTTTGGAACGAGCACGTGCCGGCAAATTGCCCAACATGCCCAACGCCTCACATTCGCAGCACGCTATCAATCTTGAGGAGCTTGAACGACAGACTGCCCCTCCCGTTCACAATTAAAAAACAATTGACCATTCAAAACACGAACAAACAATCATTTATTTAAACAATAATTATTATTGGTCATCTTCGAATTGATCTGAATGGAATTATTGCGAGTTGCTAGGCATAAAGACTTTGGGGTCATACTTTTGTCAACTTGTTTCAACAATTTCAAAACAAACAAGGAAACATGAAGGAAAAAAGTTAGGAGCGGGGTAGCGTGACCGGTCTCGCCCGTTTCTCTGTTGCCCTTTTGCTCTCCCCCTACCCTCTCTCTCTCTGTGGTCGTGTCCGCCGCCTAATCATGTACATGCTCTTAATCTTAGCTATTATTATTATTATTTTTTTTTTTGAACGAAAGACTGGAAAACTTTTTTATTTTTTTCTTTGTCTTGTTTTTTCAAAGAGGTTGCAAACAAATAGCTACATGCGATACTATTGGACATTATTGTTTCATGTTTTGTTTTTTAATCGATAAATAATAAGGAACGATCTTGAAACGTCAATAATAATAATAATAAAATAATGTCGAAATCTTCACCACCATCTTTGAATGTAAAACAAAAAAAACAAGATAAAATATGTTGTATGTAGTAGTGAAGATTGAAAAAGGAAATGAGAAATTACAGATTTAGCGTCAGAGTGAAATTATTATAGTCAAAGAAATAAAAAAAAAACAAATACCATGTAGACGTTAGAAATCGTATTCGGTTACTTTCAGATATTTTTTCTCTCTTTTTTTTTTGTTGTGCTGGTTTCCAAACAACATGGAGATTTGAAACAATTTTTTAAATGTTGTATTAGTGTGTGCTCGCGCCTATTTGTGAGCGTAAATGTGTGAATGTGCGTACGTATTTGAAATTTGATGCAAAAACAGCTTCAACGAAAACAAGAAAGATTTTTAAGTGTTTTTTCGTAGACATTTTGTAACGTATCATGCAACAGCAAGTTTCGAAAAAGCCTAAAGTATTTTTATTTCAATTTTAGATCTTTGATCATTAAAAAAAAAGTTTGAAACATACATTTACTTTCGGTTTCTGTTTCAACCCAGAGTAAAACAAATTGTGTACTAAAACTTCTGAATCTCTTTCTTAAAGTTTGTTTATTGTTAACCAAAATTTGTGAAATTTTATCACCCATACAAATTACTTTTTCTTTCTGTTTTCAATGGGTCAATGGGAAACCTTTTGAGCACCTTTTGGTTCGTTTATCGTAGTGCAACAGTAACAGTATTGTGACATAAAAAATATCGTAACGACTGAACTGATGTTTTAATTAAATGTTGCATAAAGTGTCTGCTTTTGAGGCTGGCAAACAGTACGTCTTGCTGTATGTTACTATTTTTTTCGTCTCTTTCAAAATGAATATGTAATATAAACAAACTTACCAATAGAAATGAACAATATAATTATTGGACGACTGATTTTAAAGTAAACAGTTAGTCAGCACGTAATGGTGAATATAATAATCAGAAATTGAAAATTGATTATTGAATAAAAAAAATGATTGGTAAACAGTACTAAAGAGGGTAAGGTAAAAAAGAAATAGTTTTATTTTATTCAAAAGTTCTGCCAAAAATAAAACACAAATTGTTTGTTTGTTGAGGGGTTTTTCATCTTTTATAGATGCCCCAATGATGTAAAACTTCCATCGATTAAAGGCTATCAAAAGAATTACCAAAAATATTAAATTTGCTCGATATTTAGGCTCAATAGATTACCAGACTGATTTAATGTTTACTTTCCAGATTCAGTATTTAGTTGGTCTTAAAAAACAAATAATTGACTTCGATTATTTCTTAAATTGTAGTTTTTTTTATTGATCGAAATCATTACTAAAGACGTTTTCAGTAGGAACAGTATTTAGGTTTAAAAAGTATTAAACTAAATGTTTGTTTCTTAGTTAATATTAATAAATTATCACAGGAACAAGGTAAAAATTCAGAATAACATGTCAAACGATATTGTAAAGCAGTTTCTTATTCACGTTATCTTTCAAATCAAAGTCATAAAAATCTTGGGTGATAAACATTAGTATTTTTAATCGACATTTTAATTTGATTTTTTTTGTTATTATTATTTATTTAAAGTAAATATTAAAACAAATGACTGTTTTTAATGGTAAGAAAATGATAAATTTCTCATCTACTGTCATTTTAGCAGTTATATTAATTTGGAAAGAATTTTGAAAGAACTTCGGTTATATTAACCATTAAACCTTAAAACTATTTCTCGTACTTCTAATGAATTATAATTGTAAAATTTTAAAATAATTTTTGTATTTGTAACGAACGAAATCGCTGGCTTATAAATGAATGTGACATAAGACTATATCACTAATTCCTAATGATTTATTCACCATTACTGTAATAATTGTTTAGGTGTACAGAGTGTGCAAGTATCGACTTGTATCGATCGTGTGCATGTGAGCGGATGTTTGCGCATCAGTCCAGTAAAATGGTGAGCCTGACTTTAGTCCTACAACAAAACAGGAGTAAGGTGTAAATGAAGAAAAGGAAATTTGTAAATATAAACGAAATGTATGAGCAGCATATTTATTAAAATTCGATGCTTGTTGTATAGCTGTATAAAATAAAAAACAAATATTAATTAGAAATGAAAAAAATTGAAAAATAATTAAAAAAATTAAACTTGTCTATCGCCAGGACCGCGCTACTTCGTTTCCAGTGATAATGAATAATTAAATAGAAGATGTTTAGATGAATTTATTCTATTAACAATAAAAAAAAAGTCGAAATTGTCTAGTGTTCGTAGTGTGAGTCGTTGTTATATTATATTATATTATTGTTATTACTTTATCTCTTGTACCAGGAACGGAGTTTGATTTTCGTTTTTTGACTGGATCGTCATTTATTTAATTTTGGGTGTTAGATTTAGTGAAACGAAGTTGTGCCGCTGTCCGATTGGCAGGTGTCGATTTTGCTTTTCTTTTTCCTTGTCTACTGTTGTACAGATTTTGAATTTTTGGAAAAAATGTACTACACACATATATACAGAAAAATAATAAAATAGAGATGCTCGTGACTTTTCAATCAATCAATCGATCGATCGATTACCGTGTTGTTTTTTTAATTTTATTTCTGTTAATTCGAAAACGATTAAGTTCAATTTGGTGTGTACAAAGCGAGTTTGAACGGTTATTTCGGGGTTGCGATCTTTTTTTGACTTCGCCTTCTGCCGAAATAAACGGACAAACGTGATATTGGGTTTAAAGAAACATGAATTATTATTAATATGTAAAATGCATTATTTGATTTCGTTGAACAAGAACATTCTACAAACTGTAACATACCACAATCGAAATAAAATGAATTCCATGTGAATGTTGTTTTTAAATATTTTTATAATTCACAGTACTTAGTTTGCTTATAAGTAAAAAAAAAAACATTTTGTAGCCGAATCTGTTTTAAATGTTCCTAATGCAAATAAATAAAAATTATGTAGTTTTACGTAAGTATATGCAGGGATGGGATTCAAACGTTCCTCCCAGAAGAAGCCTTAGCAGTTTTAATTGATTTTTACCAAGAAATGGAACGGTGATCTGAAAAAGGTAAGATTTCTTTTACCTATTTAAGATGATTTTTTTTATCTTCAATATTTTGAGTGCTATAAAAATAGATAGTAATTCAAATAAATTTAAATTTTAGATTTCAGTAATACTAAACATAATTATGTTTTTATAAAAGCTAGTTTAAATTTTGTGTTATATTTCTAGGTTTTTAATTTAATATAAGTAACAAAGAATTTTAAAAAAAGGTATAACAATTGTCCCCTTGTAAATGTTCCAACATATTTTCTCGTTTTAAAGTGTATCTGTATTTTGTTTTGAAGGTTTTAAAGCAATCTGTTTGAGAATTTCTTTATTCGTTTTCATTCCTGTGACTTTTTTTAATAATCATAAAAGGCGGTGACCTAATGACCTTAACGTACAATCTGACTGAAGATATTTATGTGTATGTATCTGTAAACGTTATCTTACACAACGTTAAATTAATATACGGCTGTATATGCGTCATAAAAAGTTATTTATCCTTTTAAAATCGTAGGGTTTTATTTCTTTCAGAAGTGAGAAATTACAGATTTAGCGTCAGAGTGAAATTATTATAGTCAAAGAAATAAAAAAAAAACAAATACCATGTAGACGTTAGAAATCGTATTCGGTTACTTTCAGATATTTTTTCTCTCTTTTTTTTTTGTTGTGCTGGTTTCCAAACAACATGGAGATTTGAAACAATTTTTTAAATGTTGTATTAGTGTGTGCTCGCGCCTATTTGTGAGCGTAAATGTGTGAATGTGCGTACGTATTTGAAATTTGATGCAAAAACAGCTTCAACGAAAACAAGAAAGATTTTTAAGTGTTTTTTCGTAGACATTTTGTAACGTATCATGCAACAGCAAGTTTCGAAAAAGCCTAAAGTATTTTTATTTCAATTTTAGATCTTTGATCATTAAAAAAAAAGTTTGAAACATACATTTACTTTCGGTTTCTGTTTCAACCCAGAGTAAAACAAATTGTGTACTAAAACTTCTGAATCTCTTTCTTAAAGTTTGTTTATTGTTANTAGGAAAATCTTCATACATTTTAACATCTGTTTTGCTGTTTGTAACTTTTAAATTAGTGTGTGAATAGGGCGAAAATTCACGTGCGCATTTCTATGTTCAAAATTTTACGTGTTTTTTCCATTTCAACAATCAAATTTTCGTTATTTCAAAGTGCACTTAAAAACTATTAGAACTAGGAGATTCCTCATACATTTTAACATCTGTTTTGCTGTTTGTAACTTTCACGTGCGCATTTCTATAATCAAGATTTTAGGTGATTTTTGCATTGCACATTGTGCGCATTTGTATGTTCAAGATTTTTACAGAATATTTGCATCGAAACAATTAATTTTTGTTATTTTAAGACGCACTCTAAAACTATTAACACTATGACATTCTTTATACATTTTAACATATACTTTTCTTTCGTCTAATCTGGTCATTTTTACTTCGTGTACAGTACATTACAGTTGTTTTACGAAATCTGATAGCTTATAGTTGGCAATACCTCTAATAGTTAAAATATGCGGACCAAGACTTTGTTTTGGCTTTATTTGGGGTACTTGTGTTGTTAATTTTTCAATTAATTTTTCGGTTATTAAAGAAGATGATATTTTAAAATGTAATAAAGTAAACTAACGATTTTTTTAAAAATAATGTTCCTTCGTTTACATATAGAAACGTTACAAAACGAAGAGAAGAAATTCACAGTTTAGTCTTCTATCGAATGATGACAAATTTTTAAAAATTAAAAATTTTAACAGCTGTTTTTTTCATTTTCTGCAATTAGTTTCTGAGTTTTTATAAAGGCATTGTGTTTTAGCTAGTTTGTAGTCTTAAAACAATTTAATTCTGCCTAGGTGTTATCTGTTTTTCTTCAGTCATATCTCTTGTTACTGTTTTTTTCCTAATCTGACTCAAGAAATAATATACTTGTGTGTATGTGTATGTGAAGATAGACATTCTGAATAGAACCTTGAATTCCTTCGTTAAAAATAAATATTATTAAACAGTCGAATTATTATTTTTACAAATTAATGTACAATTTTACGAATTAAACGATCGAGTTTTTGCGGAAATGTGTTCATACCTATTCTAAAGCGTATTTTTTTTTGTTGCATCTATTGATAACTATCTTGTCATAGGTATTTCTGTTTTTATTAGGAAGCTGCAATAGAAGTTATTTGAATTAAAACAAAAGATAGAAAATAGGAACATGAATTTTCTACAATATAGTTCGAATACTCTCCGTACTCAGGCTCTAAAGGCGCTAGCAGTCTTTTTCCTGCTGACCGTGGCCCAAGTCGTAATAAACTTGGAAAATTCCACTTTAGTTTAATCATATCGGTCGCTAGAATGTTTACGTGAATAATTTTCCAAAAAATATAAATTTTTGCTGGTTCGGACAGCAAAATAAATACAAAGGTACAGTGATAGTAGTGAAAAATATCTGGTTTTCTTAAAGTCTTATAAACAATTTATTCGTTATACGTAAATGTTGCTAATAAAGACAAAACCTGCTGCTATCAAGTGCAAAAGCGTTACCCATGGATAAAATCAATGCAATTTTCTTTTTATGTTGAATAAGTGCATAATGGGGAACAAAAATTACTTTCTGGTGAGTTTTTGAAATTTCGTCTGTTTTCACAATTTTGATGAATAGGGTACAATTTTAATATTCTTTCTTGATTAGAAACATTTTTCAAGTAATTGTAATGATATTCAGTTATTTCAAGTAGACAATTTTAAGCATATTAATTCGGTTTATGTGAAATATGTATCCTGAAGCTATTCGAATAGCGTAACTATAAATTCCTTCTACGAATCTCTTCAAATTCATAATCATAGCATATTTTGTTTAGAACGATATTCATATTTTTATTTTTTGGGGTTTAAAAAGTAATACAAGCCTAACAGTTCACCACTATTTTTCGCAACTGAACGATATATAAGACAGTCTCATTAGTCACTCAAGCGGTAATACGGTCGCAGATCGTAGGTTGACTGCCTAGACGCTGAGTGAGGGTACCTATAGCAAAGCGTTATTAGGTGGAATAGGCCAAACGGGCGACTGTAAGTCCGGCGGTGTATTACCCCTGTATTTTCCACTGTTCCAGTTATCGGTTAATCGTCGAGTTCGACTTCTCAGGTATCCTTCATCACGAAGAGTTCGTGGTGAAGCTGAGAGGCGG